TCAAATTAAATTAGAGTATAATGACTTTAATGTGCATTTATGCGCATTGAGTGCATCCAACCGAATTTGCTATTAATTTAAATTGTAGAATGAGACAGTATAAGTTCAAATAAATTAATATGATGTATAAGGAAATATATGTACTCTTCTCTCTCGTACACGAAAAAAATGGTTTTGCTGAAATCTAAAAAATTTAGATAGATATATCTAGCTAGAATTTTATAGATACTTGATTTGAACAAAACCATTCTTCTCATATATTTTAATAAAATCGTTTATGGCCAGATTCTGTTAGACAGTTTCTTTTCTACTTGTGCCGCTTCAAGATTTACAAATGTGCGCGCGAAGTGACACAATTGATGGCGTTAAAATAACACTCGAGTTCGGAATATTAAGACACATGGAACAATGGTTAGTATTATAAATGTGATTAAAACGCTGTGGTAGAGAACATCCTAATTGACTAGCGAGAATGATGTCATAGTTAGCGCTAATTGTTCTTCAATTCGCGAGAAATAACACGTTTACATAGTCATAATTCATATTCATATATCCATACAGCGGTTGCCTGAATATTTGCGATATCACGTACATATATACTCTGTCAAAAGTGGAGCAGCAGCGTTTTAAGGTCAAAGTTTAACTGTCGTGTATTTTTTTCCGCAGTGTGAAACTTTGAACTTTTGATATTACGTATCTTTGGCAATTAAACACGAAATTAAAATTTTAATACGGTTCATGTGAAAAATTAATTGAAAAAAGATAACGCTTCGTTTATTCGCGAAATGCTGTTGGAAGGCAAAACAATTTGAAATGCTGTTGGCCTGGTTTATCCTGAACCACGAGCCCTCACATATGAGTCTCTCATTCATTTCTGTATATTTTGCGGTGCCCGCGTGCGCGCTTATTACACGCTTCGTTTCGCCTCTCTATATTTTTCTTACGCATCGCGCTTATCCATCCTCCATACGACCAGCCATTCCCGCTTCTTTTGTACCACGTCCTCTTTTTAACCGCTGAAGTTCCCATTCTTCTCCCCTCCGCCCACCACATCTACTTCGACGTCCTTACGTCTTCGGCCTTATCTCTCGACAGCCACCGGCAATTCCGCGCGTCTCTCCTCTCCATCTATCGTCCGTCTTTGCTCCTTTGCGATTCCGTCACGTCTCTCCACCTCTTCCTCCACCTCCTTCTTTATAACGACGCTTTTATCTCTCCTTATCCTCAGCGATGTCACATCGTGCGCCACATCGTGTTTGTCCCCGCCGGCTCGAACTCCCCGTCTTTTTCTACTCCGCAGTCTGCATTATCCGTCCGGATGCATCGCGTCCGCTCGTCTTTATGTCTCGAACCGACGCGCGTCGATCTTCTCTCCGTTCCGCTGTATTCGCCTCTTTTCGCTACTCTCGCAGCTCGTTACATCACGTTGCTCTCCGTCTTCGTCTCTTTTTCCGAGTGTCCCGGTGTTAATTCGTCTCTTTGATTGCGTCTCTCTGGCTTTCCCGTATCTACACTGTGTATCTTCGCGACGCGGGCTGATTCCGACTGATTCCTCTCCACTTCGCCGGTTGCACTATGCTGGTCTCTTACGCCCTTTTCTACTGTTCGAACTGATATCTTGTTCACCCCTTATCATCTCCCCTGCCGCTCGTCGACATCGTTGTCATTCTTTGTTAAGCTTTCAGAAGCTGTCTAGGTCTACTTTGCGTCCCGAGTGTACGTTTTTATCCAGACGTGTCCGATTTCATCTCAGGACCGACTCTATCCATCTTTTTATACTTCGCTGTTTCTGATAGATCATGAATTATTCAAAGATGATGCACATTTATCTTTCGAACATGATAGCAGATATTCCAACGGAATTAATTTCTCGAACGTGTATTATATAAATGCAATTTACGCAAACAGAACATAAAATCATCATCCAAATGACATCCAAAATTGAAAATGATTATTAAAGTCAGTCTTCGATCAATCATGATTTATTTTAACGTCAAAGTAACATTATCATGGTTTGTCGTTTAAAAAATTCTATAAACTTTTAACTTATATTAGTGTAATCTGTTAAATAACAGGAATAATGGTAATACAATCCTTTGGTTTAACATTATTGTTATTTTTAAGTTTTATGTGTAATAAAATAAAAATGTAAATTAATCCATTTCTATAGTTAGTAATTTCAAAGTAAACATTATATCAATGTATTTAGTAAAGAACTAAAGAACCTAATTTAATGGATAATAATACATTAATTTAATTTTCTTATAAACTAATAAAGTAAATTAATTTAACAAAGTAATTTAATCTAACAATATAATTTAATTTTCTTAAATTAAGTTATTTAATGTTTATTGTTTTTAATTAAATTAACAACATATTGAATAAAAGCAGATAACATAATAAATCATTAAGAATAATAAAAAATTGAGTATAATTTGATATTATGAATTTAACAATATAATATGAGCGTTAAAGAATAATTACAGGTACATATATTGTAGCTGTGAAAAAAGATACTAAATAAAATAGATAAATCTGCTTGATTGCGAGTACAAAAACAGCCGAACTTTATTTCAGGAGTAGAAAAAATAAATAAATACCGCACTTTGAACCGTAACATTGCGTGTGCCGCATGAGATTCCAACGTGAATACGAGTGACCCATAAAAAAAATAGCACTTCGCGTTAAGTGCTTTCTTGCGTGGATGTAACTCTCAATGTGTGTGCTGCGAGAAGTTTGTTAAATCGTAAATGTAAATGGCGGTGAAAAAATTTCTGGTGGACAATATGGAAGAAAAGCAGAATAGAGAATTAAAGAAAGATGCTTTTAATCGCATTTTGCTTTTTAACAAATTAAAAAAGAACAATGGTTCTTTTTATTTTTTAAACAGGTCAACAATCGATAAAAAACATATAAATTAGTTACTGACAAATAGAATTTCCTACAACCATAATGAGATATAGATATAGATTTATTTAATTTTTTTTTTTTTAATAATTCAATTAATATTTTAATTGTCTTAAAATCTATATCTATGTTTGATTAAAAATAATTTTACTAAATATTTAATTTAAGAGACAATATTAAATTACATTAAGATTTTAAAAAACAATTGATTAAAAATCAAAATAGCGTGTTATTACAGATTTATTACGTTCAATGCTGAGCTTTAGCAATCAAAGTGTTAATACAATATAATTATTTATGAATCAGAAGTGGATTTTCTTTTCCTCTCTTCTCAATTGTATATCGTGGATAATTTTGTTGTGAAATTCCATAATTATGAAATTCATGCTTAGATAATCGAGATTATTTCTGTTATTATTGTTGAAACTTCCGGATATTTTCTTTAAAGAAACTACAAAATTTGTGGATTATCTCCGTATCTTGATCACATTATTAAATACCAACGTTTCGTGAACATTGCAATTTACTTCATTAGAGCGAAAAGCAACCTGATACTTCTTGTCCTAATGAAGAGAACTACAATGTTCACGAAATGTTGGCATTTAAGAGAGATCTGTGATAGCTCGTAAAACTTTATGTATCTTCTTATTTACGTTACTCAATGTATATTATATTAGCACATTCAATGCCGGGCCAATTTTAAATAACTATCATCATGCCGCAATATTAGTACATTAGACCTTCTTTTACAATAATTTTTGCAATTTTGTTAAACTACATATATTTTTACCATCATAAAATATATGTAAAATTATTTAATAAATATAATAAAAGCACATAAAAATGCCGCGTAGGTCACCAATGACCCACGGCATTTTTGTTTGTATTTGTCATATTTGTTAAATAATATATATTTCGTAATAATTACAAAAAATTACAAAGGTTATTATTGTAAAGAAGAAAGTACTAATGTTGCATCCACATGTGATACAAAAAATTATTTTACAACTACGTGTCATTTTATAGTCAAAATATTAAATATATGAACTTTCCGAATGGAAAGTTCAACGTTGATCACCGGTGACTCGCGCAGCACGAAATGTGTTAATATTATTAAACTGTAATATGCCTCGCAAAAATTATGTATGAAAAAGGAATAGCAATTTCTCATTTGTCCGACACGAACATGGTGCAGAATTTCTCTGGTGGGTATTTCGCGCACAGAGACAGTTAAAATCGCGTACGCGGTGGGACGTAATCACGATGAATTTTTCAGCGTGGCTCGAAATTTTTTTTTTCGGGATGCAAAGTATTCCGACGTATTAGCCGGTGACCTAGATTTCTGGCAAATTATACGAGCACTTCAGGGTTTCTATGGCCATGCATGTAATCCAACCCTAATCGGGAGCGACAAACTACGGGAGTAAATAATATTGTTTGCAAATCGACATTCGAAGCCCCGGGCGACAACGTCGAACTTATAATTCGATCGACAGATCGTATTTGTGATACCGCAAACAAGCTTGTTTACCTCTTTCCACGCGCTGCGTAGCAGAATCGATCGATCATTCTCTCACGAAACGAACGATGATCGAAATTTTCTTCCTTGATGTAATCAAATATTTTATAAAATAAAAGATTTAATTTTTGCGTATATGCAAATTATTTTTCTCAACGTAGAATTGCGTCAATGCTAATGCGCGATAATGTCAACTAATTTTTCACGCTGTTATAAAACCATTCATCATTTAAAACAAATTTTGTATATTTCTAAATAAATTTAAAATTATATGTATATATATATATATATATATATATATATATCTTGATAATCTTCTTTATAATCAATAAATTGAACACGTTTCTGCTGGTTAAGAGAAATACCAGAGTGATTCTCTGTAATCCTTTAAAATAAAATTAATATACATATACATATACTAAAAAAAAAAAATTAAATTTTAATAAATATTTGTTTGATTACGATTTAGTAATTTTTTTTAGTGTGTATAAAATTTAATTATTCTTGTGTAAAATATCAACAAATCGATCAGATCTTTGTAAGAGAAGAAATCATTACATAGAAATTCTTTTACCTTGAAATGCCATCATCTTCCTTGCTTTCCTTTTTTGTCACATCTCCGACGCTTCCTGTTTTCTCTGTCAGACCTTCGTGCAGGATCATCAGTTCCGGCCTGTCTGGCTGTGCTAGACTGCCGATTTTGAAGGGAAATTGTTCCTGCTTCTGATCCTTGGCTAATCTTTTCGAACCCTCGCTTCCGGTTCTGCTGAGTCGCCTCTCCTTGACGTCTCTACCATCCTCACCCGTCTGCTCGATTTTTTCACCGTTATCGGAGACTTTCGATAGATCCCAAAGAATCTCCGGCCTCAGATTTCTCACAGAAACCTTGTGATCCTCGTCGGAGCTGGGCCTGCCTTCCACTAAAGTGCTCTCCGACGTCGATTTCGCTAAGGCGGGCAGCTGCAATGATAAGGCGTCGACGATTTCCGGTGATGGCGCCCGCGTTAGTTTCGTTTTAATTATTTCTGGAATGAGATGCACTTCCGGTGGCGAATGAATCTCGATTCTGGTGATTGCCTCTTCAAAGCGAAGCGCAGACGCCTCTTCCGCCGTGATGATCCTGGCAGTCACCAGCTGGACTTCCGGCAGCAGATCGATCATCTGGTACGTGACAGTTATATATCGAAATTAGGAGCCGATTTTATTATTTCTAATTTTTCACTTACAAGTCATTTTTAGCAAAAACAGTAACAAAATTGTTTTTTTTAATAACAAGACAGTGCTGTCTTTAGAGGATTAAGCAAAATTGACCAATCGGTTGACACGATTAACATTCGACTCGATCAATCGAAGGTAGTGAAATCGATTTTAATACAAACAAAACAAAATATGTGAAATATGTGAAATATTTAAAAAAAAATTCAATTCACTCACCTGGTCGCTCGTATCATCAAAGAAGATCTCCTGTACGTCCTCTTGAATTCTGACACCCTTTTTCTCTTCCAACAATGATTCTCTTGAGGACTCTCTGGAGAAGGAGTTTCTCCTTTTTCTCAACGAGCTCGGTCGTTTCGTGGATTGCTGAGCCGCCGGTTCGGGTTGCCGAATCTCTGAAACGGCTACTCGTTCGAGAGTTGGCCGTTGTTTCTTATCCTCCGAGAGTCTCTTGACGTCCTTTGCGAGTTTTGAGTCTCTCAGAGAATCTTTCGTTTCTTCCACCACCTCAGATACACTTTTCAGGCTCTCTTTCCTCTTTGTAGATACGATGGACGTTTCGATTGTCGTTGAGAGGCTCACGGTTTCCTCCTCTTTGCTAATAGCTGATGGACGTTTGACTCGTTGCTCATCTATGACTTCGGGAACGGAGAGCTCTGCAGTTTCGAGGCCGACGCTTATATCAGAATAAGATGGAATGCTATGCCTCGTCAGGAATTCCGTCACCTCTCCTCTCTCGATCGTCGATAAGTCTCTTCGTCTTTCTTCGCAAAATCTTCGCCTTCGTGTTTCCGTCTCGACGAATCTTCCTCCATCTTCCGTTCAGTCTTGATGGATTTTTTTCCCGACTTTCTCGATCGCTTCTTACCATCTCCCTTCTCCATGAAGACCTTCTTCTTAGCACCTTTTTCCGACGATGTATCCGACTTCTCCAATGTCTCCCTCGACGTGGACGTTCGTCCTTCGGATTCTACGCTGCTATGACGCTTCAGGCTTTTCCTACGTTCTTGATCCGTTTCTCGCACCGATCTCATTGTCATGGTGACCCTGGATGTATCCTCCGCACTGGAAGACGGCTCTTCCTGAACGGGAGGTACGCGATCCAGCTCCAAGGATGATTGCTTCTTTAATTTCACCTTTGGAGCCACCTTTTCCATCCTCGTCGGCACATCCTTAGTGTGCCTGGGAATCCTCGTCGTTTCCACGATTATCGTGCCGCCATACGACACGATACTCGTCTCCTCGCGCATTGTTTTGGACGTGGTAGGATAGAATTCGTGAATGATCTCGACGTCGTTATCGACATCGATATATCTGGTCGGAGATCTTTTGTCGCGATGGAGTTTGGCAGATCGTCGTACTGGACTGCAAATCGGCGTCATCGGAGAAGCGTCTTTCCAGTGATCCTCCTCCTCGTCCTCGTCGATCTCCGGTTTGTTCGTCGAGGTTTCGGTCAGTCCTGCGTATGGCAAGAATTGTTCGTGAATGTAATTGCAGTATACAAAAAATTTTGCTGAACTATATCTAAAAATTTAGTTAATATTACATCTGAAAGTATTTTTTATTGAATCATCAAAATGTTTGTGTAGGAAACTCAAGTATTGATGAGCAATGCTGCAAAAAATTTTGATATTCTAGCAATCAATTTGAACGTTCTATATAATTATTCTGATGGTTCAACAAAATTTATTTTCAGATTTGTTCTAGTTGAATATTTTTAGATATTTTTCGTGTAGATCTTTGATAATGCTCCATTTTTATTGAGGTGCCTGAGGTAATTTAAAGGAATGTGAAGATCGAATCTCTCGATTAATCGTTTTCAACCCAATAAATTTTCCAATTTTTATTATCGAGGAATCATGTCGATAAAAACCGTATTGAGCAAAATTATTTTTACTATTTATACGAAGTTCGCATAGAAGGATATCGCATGTTATTCCGCGATGTGTTAAAGCGTAGTGCGCTTTTGTACGTTATCTATAAAGGAAATCTAGTCTAATCGCGAGATCAAAATTGATGGTTTTCGTACATCAGACTTGAATGGTAATGGCAAATTGCCACGTTACGAGATATATACATATCTCGCATAGCGCAAAAGGAGATTCCGCTCCTGTCAGAGGAAGAAAGGGGAGGCTCGTATAGAAATCACAATAGTATGTTTCGCGAAACAAGACGCGACATATCCCCGTTTCGGAACAATAGAAATATATGAAATATGCTGGAATATACTCGGAATGTACTCGTTATTGAATGGAGCGTGATTTATACGACTCGTTTTTGGAACGCAGGCGCGATCAATAAAAATTGTGTGAGCAAAGTTATAAGGTAATAATCGTTTTATAACTAAATTAATATTCTTTGAATAAAATTATAATGTATTATAAAATAAAGTTAGTGAATTGATAGTATCGATAATAAAAACAAACGAGCCGAATTAACGGGTGAGATAGAATATTAAATATATACGTAATATTATATTTATTTTAAATTACAGAAATTCCAACATGTAATAACTAAAATTGAATGTTTCAAGATACATAAAGCCCTTCAGTAGTGGTATTAAAAAATATAAATAAAGATTTAAAATATAGATACGCTAAAAAAATTTAACGAATAACTAATATTACAGAAAAAAAATGGACATGTCCGCCTCCATTTATATATATAAGGCAAAACAAAGTCACATTTAGGTTAAATAAACAGGTAGTGATAATAAAGTAAAAAATAAAATTACAATACTTATTATAATACACAATAAGAAACATATTATACTTGTGTCAAAACCGACCCTTGTTAAAATTTTCGATTTTTATTTTTTGAATTCTTAACATTCTCGAGTATTAATTTAACATAGTGAGATTATGTTTTAAATATTTTGTATTAAATTGATATTTTTTTTTTTTAAATAACGCAATTTATGAATAATTAATTAAATAATATAAAAACAATATAGTTTTAAATATAAATTCTACGATAAATGAATAAAAAATGTGTGCGAGAGTGCATAATTTAATATATTATAAATTAATTTTACTGAAGAAATATACTTTCACAATTTGTTTCTAAATTGTCGAAGAGTCATATTTGTATGTCAAAATTTTTACACAATGTTTATATTACTTTCTGTGACATATCATACTTTTTAACACCTACAATGTCTACATCATGTAATATATACATTATGTATATCATGTGTTAAATTGACACAAAAATTTGAATGGATTATGTGGGGCATGTGAAATGTATTAATTTAACCCAAATTTTCTAACTATGTAAGATATTTTAGGATGTTTAATTAATCTTCCTAAAACTTCTCCCATCATTAAATAAATAACAAAAAATGTTACAATTAAATGCATCAATCTCGTTGCAGTTGATTCGAATTTTTTACTTACATCCTCACACGTTATAAAGTTTAGCAAAGAAAATATACCTGATCTCGAAGAAAGCAAGTCTTCAAGCTCAGCTGCGTGATCTGTCGTCTCACTCTCGTTGGGAAAACTTTTGCTCCGTTTGATCTTCGGTGTCATCCTCTGCTACAGAATCGAGCAGCGTAAAAAGTGAGCAAAAGAGACAGGAGTTAGATCATTAGTACAAACGTTGACAATTACCGTTCTAAAATTACGCATTTACGAAGAACTGGCTTGCGTAAGAGAAGAAAGAAGCTGCAATTTCGCAACCAAATGGCAATTATAATTGATATTATTACAGGAATGAATTTTATTTGCAGAATTCCAAGCATTTATTAATTTACGATATTTCTTGAGGAGACGGCATAATCTTTTAATATCTCCGTGCAGATGTTAAGCTTATGATAACATTGATATGAGAGGGAGACTTCAATTGACGTGAATGGTGTTGAAATAGCATAATTTCATTTATATGCATTTGAAATGCATTAATATGTTAATCAGATCGTACGTGCATGTATTTTCACGAATTTTGATCTAGCGGAGATAATTCTGTAGTGAGCGTGCCACGTATTCAGATTTAAATTACGTCGGAGGGTGTATACATTGGAAACATGCTGCGTGCAAATGTAAATACAGATCGTCACAAGGGGAATCAACAATCACGTGAATTCCACGTATATTTATAGCGCCAATTGCATAAATCTCGAGAAACTTTTTAGAGGAAAAATAAAACGAATCGTCTCGTTGTATACATAGACGTAGCTTAACAAATAAGTTTGCTTCGTAATCTCTTTGCTGCCACGATAATCCAGTTAAAGGAATAGTTCCATACAAATAGGATTGTCTAGAAATCCGTGAACATCGACGATACAATATATCGTCGTGCAGTTGAAAAAGATTTTTGTTCTAAGAAAGAGGCTTATATTAAATTCTACTTATATTAAATTCAATAATATATTTATTGAATTCAATAATTACTTAATTAATATCGAAATATGAACTTCAATATACATGAAGCTCAATACTAGAAATGAGATGCTGATCCTTTAATACTACACATTAACTACACAAGCATCCGTAATTAATGCGGCAATGCATTAGAGAAAGATCTATAAAGTGACTAAACATGATTTGCCAAAGGCATATACTTATTTACGTGCGCTGTTAATTAAATCAGATTCAGAGCATTACTGAATGCAATTAAATAATTGAGCGGATCGAATAAATAATTATACACGTTTTGAAGTTGTTCAGTGAATAATTTTTTGTTCGATCGAATATATAGAACGATTTACAAAACATGTTTACGCAAATGCTAATTTATAATTAGAGTGAAAATGCTCATATATTTTCAAAACAAATAAACAAAGTCGTGGCTTATTTCGAGCATATAATTAGACTGACTTTAAATTAATACAATTAACATAACAATTGTAAATACTATATAATAATCTAAATACAATTAATAAAATAATATTAAAAAAATATGTATAAAATTACAAACGTTTCAGCTTACAAAGCCTTCTTGAGTGTATAAAGCAAAAATACATTATTAAATTAACCAATTAAACGAACCAATTAGATAGCGCATATAATGAAATATTTACAAACCATCAGTAATAATATGTCAATTTATGTAAGATTCGAATGTCAAAATGTTAAGACAGATTACAAAATAAGAAGAATAAAATACTTCGATCAAAAGTAGACTAACATGATGTCCTTCGATAAATTTTTTGCCAAATTCCTCGGTTAAAAATGGAAATCCAATTTATCGCAAACTTGAATCATTCGATTTGAGAGTTCAATTGTTACGAATATTTTATGATATTGTTAATTTATATTAAAATACTGTAATTAAAAATCTCAATCGGAGATCTGGTCAAGTACATTAAAATTAGAAGTTATCTGTTACTCGTTTGAAAATTGACAAAATTGATTGCTTATGATAAATAATATAATAGCAGTATCATAATATGTTCAGAGAATATTTTAAAATTCCACATAAAACTCTATGCTCATAAAATCTGATATAAAAGATAAATGCATGTAATTAATAAATCTAAAATTATTATAAGCTTTATAAAAATTTTAGTATTATATATATATATATAGAAAACTAGAATTAATATATATTTTTATATATCTTATTTTATAATCTTTCTTTGTCAATAGGATGAACAAGATAATTAATTTATTTCAAATTTTGTCATCTAGCAAATTGCAAAAATAAAGCAAAAAAAGTTAAATATTTAAGTGCATTGATGAGTATATGCTTGTAAATCATTATATTATTTGTCGATAGAAAAGCAAATTTTAGCTTTTCAACACAAATTTAATCATTACGTAACACCGTTGTGCTATTCGTCGATCGATTCATTTCTTTTGAGTCATTCGAGTAATTCGATCGGCGCATCAAATGGCGATTAACCCGCTCGAATGGCAAAGGAATTAGTCGGCACTCTCCGAGCGTGCGAACAAAGCGGATAAGAGTAGTTATGCAAAGGCATTTAAATTGAGAGACAGAATTTGCTGCGCTTGCCTGAAAATTAATTAATTTCTTCGAGCTGTCAAACAATTTTTATTTGTCATTTAATGCGTATGGAACATTTAAATAATAAATAACATCTTCTATTATATGTACAAGATGAGCAACCTACTGGAAAGAAATATGGAGACTTACCTATAGAACTTGATATATTTTATCACGAAATTCTCATCCAACTCATGCAGTTTGCGATAAGTCGCTAATTATGAGGGATTCGTGTTGAGTACCAGTTGCATTACGGAACATCCATATTATTTCGATAGTCTATTTCTTACGAAAATAATGCTCGTACACAAAATGAATGATTTCGCTGAAATATCTAAAAAAAATTAGATAGATACAGATCTGAAAATAATTTTGTTGGATTATTAAAATATTTATGTAAGCAATTTATAAGTATACTAAGCAAAAAGTTTTGACATTCAAACAATCAATTTGAGCATCCTAATTATTTTGAAAGTCCGACAAAATTATTTCCAATTTTATCAAGCTAAATTTTTAGATATTTCTGCCAACTGTTCCTTCTGTGTAGCATATAACAAAATTCGATAAATAAATTTGCATAAACCAATTCGAAACCATCAATTTCAAATAATAAAATTATTTATCAGTAAGTGGATTTATTCTAAAATTCAGTTCGGATTATACGTTGCAGGAAAAATCAAATTAATTAAAGATTTTTTGACTAACATTAGCGGCAATATAAAAAAAAAAACAAACTTTCGAAGGAAAAAACGCTGCGAGAATAATTCGAGTGATATCTGATTAATAATATTTCATATCTCAACATCATTTCATATCATATATGTGCGTTCAGTATATTTCTATATTTCTGATAAAATGTAACAAAGTTAGTGATACAATTTCACATAACGATCATAAATTTTAGATACATTAAGGATGGAGCCGAGGAAGAAACTACAAAATCGTTGTTGTTTAAAATCATGCTCGGTTTTAGTATGTTATATAAGAATTCCTTGCTTAACTTAAGTAAATACGTCGACGACGTGAAAAATCGAAGGAACATGTCGATAAAATGTCGACTGTATTAATTCATTATTAAGCATATTAATTATTAAGCTCACATTGGCGAAAGAGAGAGGTCCTGAATAAACAAATAAAAGGATGGGACATACGTTTTGTTCCTTCCTTCTCGATTTTTTTTCTTTTCCTTCGATTTCGCGTTTTTTAATTAGTGTGAAATTATATTACATTCCTTGTTCTCTTTTCGATTAATTGTTATATTAAAATGGGCATAAACGAGGACATAGTGCTTGTTCATGGTACTTTTATTTTGTATTTCTGTTTTGGTTTTTTGGTCGATAACTGCAGTAAAGGTATAACTCGTACGGGAAACGGATCCGCCTCGGCGCTTATGCCTCGCTCTGAAAAACGAAAAAGATACGTCATCATTAGAAAGATACGTTGTGTGTGTGCGTGTGTGTGTATGTGTGTGTGTGCGTGTATGTGTGTGTGTGTGTGTGTGTGTGTGTGTATAGTTTGAATAATTACGTGTGACTTATGGTTCTTCCGACAATAAATTTTTACCACGTCGCATTTTCGCTAAACTCTACAAAGCGTGCGAACGCGACTATAGCTTGTGTGTTTTTAGTTTATCTTTTTTTTAAATTTCTGTACGTAAAATGAAACAAATGGTTGTTTTTAGAAAAATAGGGAAAAAAGTGCATACGAAGCGTCTCTAAAGGAAAAAAGACAATATTACGTGCACTTAATGCATCACAGGAAACGCATAATGGGAATAGAGAAAATTTATGTTCGTATTTTACTATAAATATAATTATGTGTAATTATATATTTTATATACATTTATATATATTTTTAAATATTTTATATAGAACGTTATAAATCTTTATTAAAAAATACTTGTAAAATATCATAAATAAAACAATTATGTAAACATGGAAAGTGAAGATTTTCCGGTGCATTTACTGTATCAAATAAAAATTACATTTTCACATATTTTTGCGTCATATATAAAGATGCAAAATATAAGAATTATGATAAAAAGTCAAATATATGATGTTCATCTATCCATCAATAACGTTGCGATAATTACACCTTTATTAAAAAAAAAAAAAAGAAAGAAAAAGAAGAAGTTCCACCGAACATTCAACATCAACAGGCGTGGAGCAATTTTATCTTTTACGGAATAACGCGAAGTTCGTGTTTCAAAAAGAAAATTCGCACACGATAAATCTCGAAGCTAAGTCGAGTCTCGTTTTCTCAGCGAACGAGTCCAGCTGTTCGTAAAATATCTGGCGAAATTTTTCTTGCGGTAATAAGAATAACAGCGCGAAAAAGATACTCGGGCGAAGAAGAACTGAAGAAGGCCGTTGTGATAAATGCACCTGGCGCAGGTGCCCCGATAAGAACAAATGACTTACGTAATAACTGTATCTGCTGTACGCTTCCAAGAACGTGCAAAGAATCGTGTCTTCGCGTAAGTAATCGTCAATTTTGACGAAGAAGCGCGAAAAGTTCTGTAAACATTTCTTTTTTCCAGTTTCTTTAAGAATGGAGAAAGAACAAATACGTCAACGAGTTTTGGAAAATACGTACTTTCGCGTTGGAATGTTTTCTTCCCTAATATTTATTACTGCGTACAAGTTATTTTCAACTTTTGTAAAAATGTCACAAGTATTTTTATAAACTTCATTATATAAATAATAATGATTTATTATGATTTAAACATTTCTTCTTTAAATTCTAATTATATTAAATTAATCCATCGTCTAATCACCGTACTTATTTTACGT